TAAGGTTCAAAGGCGCGCAACCAAACTTGTTATGCGGCAGGGCTCGCAGTCTTATGAAAAACGGCTGTCGAATCTCAATCTCTTTCCATTGCGCTACAGGCAGTTTCGCGGGGACCTGATACTTACATTCCGCATACTACGTGTTAGGGACTGTTGTCTTATATCAGGAGATTTCTTCGAATTAGCAGCAACAACGAAGTTGAGTGGCCATCCTTTAAAACTACGGGTGACTGGGGCCAGGCTGGACGCTCGGAAGCACTTCTTCTCAAAAAGGGTGGTCAAAGCGTGGAATATGCTTCCTCGGGACGTCGTTATGTCGGAATCCCTCGAGATATTTAAGCGGAAGTTGGACCGATAAACCAATGCGCACGAAAAAGTACAATAATAATAATAATGCTACTTTCAATGTTTTAGTAGTATTCGCTTTTATAGCATTAGGGTTTAATGAGCCATCGATTCCAAGCAGCGTGTCTAATAACGACGAATCGTAATTCCTTCTACTAATATTGTTACGTGGACCTATTTTGTGATTTTTGCTTATGAATAGGGAGCTCAAGGGCGAAAGCCCTCTTCCCTTAATAAAGTGACTTGAAGTGACTGACTTAAACCATCAATACTAATAGCAATATTTCGGTAATGTGTATATATGCTATTGTATAACGCCCTCCCACCAATAGTCACATGCTAAGGTCTCCGCGGTCTACCCTATTTGGCTATCTGCGTACCGTGATTACCCCGTCAACGATCGCATCAGCCGGACTTGGCGTCATAAACACTCACCCTTGGTTCGACCCACAACGGACTGTCGATGATCTGGACGGATGTTTCTGTTTCTCCAGTCCCGTCGGTGGACTCTGCAATCAGTAACGAAGAATCAGGCCGTAGCGTCCACACTCGGTGATGATTCTGGGAACCTTCGCAATGCCCCATCCCGTAGGATCTCCCCCAAAATCGGACATTTTAAATTTTTTTTTTCTAAACCCCACACAATCCCCTCACAAGAACGACAGTTTTTCTCCTTAAAATCCCTTAGGAGTTTATCCATTGTCTGCTCCTAACTTTCCACCCCATGAGTCAGGACAACTGGCCTGGCCAACAATCTGAGATACAATTTTTCTGCTACCACCACACATATGTACAAATAGGGAACTTAAAAGTCATATGTGGAAAGAACTTCCCCAAAGAGCGCGCTGTGTCGAAACCAACATCCAAGAACTTTCGACGCCTCCTGGTTTGGATGGCGATCAAGTTCGGCTAGCGACCAATCTGGCGGCCGAAAAAAGATATGACTAACAGCAAAGCATATGTGCACATTGGCAAAATACCTTTGGTTGTAATGGCATTCACAGGCATTCACAGGCGTCCAGTGGACACTGTCATGTTACAAAACAATGTTCACCGATCAAAGGAGGTATGATTACGGTTAGATGTGGAGCTAAGGGGTGGTGAAATTATCATGGAGGAGTTACGAGTGGCGTAAGG